CGGGGACCAGCACCAGGGACCCCAGCACCGCGGACCCAGCACCGGGGACCCAGTACCGGGGACCCCAGCAGGCAGGCGCGAGCGTGCCCAACCCACACGGCTCGCGCCAGCACTTCCTCCCGCTCCCCCGCTGCCTGTGTCTCGCTTTCCTGAGCACCGCCCTGGGCCTCTCTGAGCGGGCCTGGTCCCTGTCACTCTCATGGCTGATCTCCCCATCTGTCACCCTACATGCATGTGCACACAAGCGCACACATGCACACAAAAACACAGACATATGTGCACATAAGCATATGCACACACATGCATATGCATACACAAACACACATGTACACAAACATACATGCACGCCCACACATGTACAACACATACACAGGCACTTGTGCACACATGAGCACACAGTGCACCAACGCACATGCACACGTAATATTACACAAACACAGGGCGTGTACACACGTGCCCATGTACATGCACGCACACCTATTGCATAGTGATGACCGCATCCCTTTGGTGGTCAATGTCCCTCAGCTTGGGGACTAGCTAGGAATAGGGGGTGCTCTTCACAGGGCTGGGAAGAGACCCAGCAGCCCCCCGCCCCGCCGTGCACGCGTGCGCAGCTCACCCCGTGGATGACGTAGCCAGGGTCACTGTACATGAGCAGGGGCGTGATCCGGGGGTGGTTGGCGTAGTGGAAGGACTTGGGGAAGTCCTCCTTCTTGTAGACGTGGAGTTTGGGGTGCGCGTCCTTGATCGCCTCGTACACCTTCTCCAGCCGCCCCTCCTTGGGGAGCAGCATCCCGTTGGGCCCGTAGTCCAGGAGCTCGAACTCGATGTCCCGGAAGGTGAAGTTGGGGAACTTGTGGAACTCCACCAGGTCGCCGGCCTTCTTGTGCACGGTGGTCATGCCGTGGTCGGACGTGACGATGAGGTTGAGGCTGTGCTCCAGGCCGCTGCGCCGGATGCTGTCTCGCAGGTAGCCCACCGTCCGGTCCACCTGCTGCACCATGGCCTTCCTCTGCGGGGACTCGGGCCCGAACTTGTGGCCCGTGGAGTCGGGCTCCCCGAAGTAGAGCGTGACCAGGTCCAGGCCGTCCTGCGTGAACCAGCGCATCACCGTGTCCACGTTGGCCCTCCACTCCGCCTCGTCCTTGTAGTTGTGCAGGATGCCCTCCTTGCGGCTCAGCGTCACGGCCGTGCCTTGGTAGGTGACGTTGCCGCCGGGGAAGAAGAAGGAGCCGGCCTTCAGGCCCTGCGGGAAGGCAGCCATGAGGCACAACCCCGCCGGGCCCCCTGCCCCCGGCACAGGGCGCCCCTGCCCGGCGTGTCTGCCCGCTCGCCCAGCCCATCCCCGCGCCGACCGCTGTCCGAGCCTTTTCATTTTCTTTTTATTTAAATTGATTTTTTGTATATTGACTTGGTATCCTGCAGCCCTGATGAACTTACTCTTTTAAAAAATATATGTTCTTATTGATTTTTAGAGAGAGAGGAGGGGAGAGGGATAGAGAGATGGAAACATCAATGAGAGAAACATCTTCGAATGGCTGCCTCCTGCCCACTCCCCACAGGGGAGGGCGCCCATAACCCGGGCATGTGCCCCGACCAGGGATCCAGGAATCGGACCGGTGACCTCCTGGCTCCTAGGTCGCTGCTCGACTGCTGAGCCACACCAGCCGGGCGAGCCTCCTCATTGTCCGAGAGGCCTCCCTATCTGGGCCGGGCCCAGACTATAGAGGAGGGAGCAGGTGCGGGTGGACTCGCACTAATGAATAACAGACAAGTGTCCCCGATATGGGGTGTCCTCACTGCCACGGGGCCCAGGGCGCTGCCCGGGGGCTGGGGTGACCCGAGAGCCCCCCTTTCTGGCCTGCAGCCCGGCCTCTCCCTGCCATGTTCACGGCCAGGAGTGCGTCAGCCCCTCCACCGTGCCCCACCCTGTCCTTCCAGCCTTCACCCTGGTCACCCGTCCGTCCGTCCGTCTTTCCATCATCCACCTGCTGCTTTATTTACACAGACCCACCTGGCCCCCCCAGCTGCCTGTCCCATGTGGCCGCTGCCCGTGCAGCCCCACAGACCCACCTGTCCCCCCAGCTGCCTGTTCCATGTGGCCGCTGCCCGTGCAGCCCCCCAGGCCACGTTCTCAGCCTCGGTGCAGAGCCGGGGCGGGGGGGAGGTGCAGGGCTGGGCCGGCGGGGGCGCGGGCCGGGGCATGGGGCCCGATGGCCATGGGGTACCTGAGCCCGGCATCGGGCAGCTCCATTTGGAGCTGGGGGCTCAGACTTGGGGGGTGCCCTCCACTGGACATCATTGACAAGGAGCTACACCCCCAGGGCCAGGAAGCCCCCAGGACATTTCGGGGTGATGGCGTTCCTGGGCTGACACGACAGCTCCATTTATTTTACCTTCGCCCCCAGGGTCTAGCTGCCCAGCCTGCGAGGGGTGCGGGCGGGGGAGCGGACAAAGCTGTTTTGTGGTCACACCCCTTTGTGTCGCGTGGGGTCCTTTTCCCGTGCGACCCCCTCCCCAAATGCCAAAGGGTCCCCAGGGGTGGCTTCCTGTCTGACTGGGAGGATGGAGTCCCAGGCTCCGGGGGGCACCGGGCAGGACTGGGCAGCCCCCCCAGATCCCACAACTGCCCGGGGCCCGCCCCGGGGACCACGCTGCCCGCCCTTCTGTGCCGGGAGCCTGGGCCTCCCCGGGGCCATGCCTGCCCGCGCTCGGCGGGGGGAGGGCGTTACCTGCCTCTGGGCGGTGATCCAGATGGGCACGCTGCCGTTGTCCCACCAGCGCTGGACGCCCAGCGTGGCGTGGTAGGGCAGCTTGAGCTTGCTGCTGGTGTTGTAGAACATGTTGTGCACCACCCCGTGGTTCTCGATGTACCTGCCTGCGGGGGGCGGAGGGAACGGGCTGGCTCGTCACCATGGGCACGGGCACGTGCTCCGACCCGGTGGCCCAGCCCCGCCCTGCCCCACCCCACGCCCGTGCAGTTCGCACTGGGAGGCATCGCTTGCAGCCTCATCAGTTTTAGCAAAAGATCAGTGTGGCCCTAGCTGGTGTGGCTCAGTGGATAGAGCGTCGGCCTGCAGACTGAAGGGTCCCGGGGTCTATTCCCATCCAGGGCACAGGCCAGGGTTGTGGGCTCGATCCCCAGTGGGGGGCGTGCAGGAGACAGCCGATCAATGATTCTGTCTTGTCATTGATGTTTCTCTCCCTCTCCCTTCCTCTCTGAAATCAATTAAAAAAGATGGGTGGCGCCCGCGTGGCTCTCAGGAGGGATAATGACGCAGCCGGGACCCAGCCTCGGCGGAGCCAGGCGCGTGGATGGGCCGCCGGCGCCCTGAGGACTCCTTTCCAGTTTGTGTTGCGTGGAGACGCCACACGGGAGCTCGGGTGCAGGAGGAGGCGCCGTGAGGGCGTGCGCTGCCCCCCTCCCACCGCGACGCGTGAAGTGAGAAGGTGGCGCAGGCGGGACAGCCGGTGCTGCGGTGGGTGTCGGGGCTGTGGTCACAGAAACGCTGGCGTGAGGACGAGCCGCCTGCACGGAATAGTGTCCCCCAAAGTCGTGCCACCAGCGTCTCGGAAGGCGACCTTGTTTGCAAATGGGGTCATGGCAGATGTGATGTGTTAGGTTAAGATGAAGGGGAGCCCCAGCCGGCGTGGCTCAGTGGCTAGAGCGCCGGCCTGTGTCCCGGGTTCGATTCCCGTCAAGGACATGTACCTCGGTTGCAGGCTCAGGCCTGGGCCTTGGTCAGGGTCATGCAGGAGGCAACCAATAGATGTGTTTCTCTCACATCGATGTTTCTCTCTGTCTTTCCCTCTCTCTCCCCCAGTCTCTCTAAAAATCAATGGGAAAATACCCTTGAGTGAGGATTTAAAAAAAAAAAAGATGAAGCTGGAGCCGCAGACTCATCTCTGAGTCCCGGCCACACTCACCTCCTCCGGGAGGCCTCCTGGGTTGACCTCAGGCTGTTGCCAGGGAGACCACTGCCCGTGTTTATCCGCTATCAGATGCCGCCAATGCTGGGGGCTGTTCTCCCCAGCGAGTGTCCCCTCCTGGCTCACCTTTGTCCCCACACGGTGCCCCGGGACAGGGCTGTGTGCATTCCCTGTCCCCCTGGCTTCTCAGCCCCCACCGCCCCCAGGTCCCATCCGCAGGCGGCACTCACCGGTGACCAGGGTGAAGTGGCAGGGACTGGTCATGGTGACGAAGGGGGGGGTCATGTAGCGCGCCTTCACGCCGTCCCGCGCCATGGCGTCCAGGTTGGGGGTGTCCACGTCCTGGTCATAGTCCCAGCGGAAGCCATCGAAGGACACCAAGAGCAGCTTGTGCCGGGAGCCCTGCCGGCCCACGGGCACCCCGGCCCCCAGAGCGAGGAGGGCGGCCAGGGCCACGGCCAGGAGGGCGGCTGGGTGGCTCATGGTGGGTTGTCTGAGGCGCCGGTGCCGGGCGTGTTCCTGCCGCGGACAGAGCAGAGCAAAGTCCCAGGGTCACCGGGCCTCTGCTCCGGGCGCCTTTGCGAGCGAGACTGTGCTCTTACCTGTGTCTCAGGAGGAGGCCCTGGTGGCCCGCGGCCGTGTCACCCGCCTTTATTGCCCACGCTCCTCCCCCGTGGGCGTGTGCCCTCCTGGGAGGGGCGGGGGCCAGGCCCGAGGATCAGAGAGCAGAAGGGGCCTCCACGGGGTGGCCTGGCCTCCACGCGCTCTCTCGGTCCCTGGGCCCTGCTCACTCTGACCCACAGCCTGACATTTGGGGAGGCCTTTGGGGTCTGTGGGCCTCGGGCCTGCCTGGGCCAGGGCCGTGGGAGGGGCTTCCCAGGGTCAGGGGGCCGAGGGCCACGGGGGCCCAGCCTGGGGAGGGCCTCTCGAGCGAGCGGTCTCCTGGGACGGGGTGGGCGGAGCCACCCTGTGGGCCTGGTCAGCATAGCCGCGCCTCCCCCTTGTCCCTGTGGATCCTCAGGGAGGCGCGGGCATGGGCAGCCTCGTCAGCAAGGTGGACAGAAGAGGGGTTCCCTTGTCACCTGTGCTCATGGGTGGGGGGGAGTGTAAGAGGAACCCTGGGCGGGGCACGGTTCTGCTACTATCTTGTCTCTCTCTATCTCTGTCTCTCTATCTTTATTTCTCTCTATCTCTATCTTTATCTCTCTCGCTCTATCTCTGTCTCTCTATCTTTATTTCCCTTCTCTCCCTATCTCTCCATCTCTGTGTCTTTTCTGTGTCTCTCTCCCTACCAACCTTTTTTTTTTTTTAATGCCCTTGACTGGAATCGAACCTGGGACCCTTTGGTCCGCAGGCTGACGCTCTATCCACTGAGCCAAACCGGCTAGGACTTACCACCCCTTTTTAAAAATTGAATTTATTGGGGTGACCCTGGTTAATACCCCACCACCACCTGATGGAGCTGCTCTCTGTACCGGACACTGCTCTAAGTTCTGGGGACCCCGCGGTGAGGGAGGCAGGCGCGCTCCTGACTGTGTCCATCTGGTTGGGGACACACACAATACAGGGACACTAGTGGGACAGGCAACAGTGAGTCGACACGGGGAGTAAAGCAGGAGACCAGATCGGGGTGTCCGTGGGCAGCACCTGATGGGCGGTGAGCAGGGCCTCCCGAGAAGGTGGTTCTGGGGGGCCCAGGCCATGGTGTGCAGTCCGCGTCCGTAGCCCTGCAGCAGCAAGCAGGGTCCTGGCACCCACGGTCTAACATAGAGGGGCAGCCCGTTGCAGGTCAGGGTGTAGGCAGGAAGCAGGAGTGGGCTGGGTGCTGGGCGGCGAGTGGTGGTGCCGTCCTCAGGCCGTGGCCGTGGCCCAGACACGGTGGTGGCCGTGGGAGCCAAGGAAAGGGAGCAACTCGGGGATGTCCAGTTCCCACGGAGCAGCTGGGGTGATGGTGTCACCTGTGACAGGGGTCAGCGGGAGGTCACGGGAGGAGCAGGGCGTGGACGAGGGGCAGGAGGGGCGCTCGGGCTGAAGCAGGAGGCAGGCCGCAGAGGAGCCTGGATTCTATGCGAATACAATCTAATACCTAATCTAAAATTGAATGTAAAATCCCATTCTTCCCAAGAAGATGGCCACCAAGGAGAAAGACTACATTTCCCAGCATTCTCTGCAGCGAGGCTTGGCCATGTGACTACATGCTGGCCAATGGGACCAAAGAAAAGATGATGAGCCCGCCTGGGCCTCTGCCGCAGCCCAGGTGTGCTGCACCCCGTTCTGATTCTGCTCCCTCTGGTCCCCGAGCTCAGATGAGGGGTGCTGCCTGGGGTGGGGCCGGCGCCCCCGGAGAGAACCAGCCGCGTCCTGGGTTTTGTGTCCGTCTCCGCAGGACCCGACCCACGCGATGCTGGGACGATGGTGCCGGGGGCGTAGGCGGGTGGCTGCCGTGCCGGCTGCTGCCAGGGCAGGGGGGGCCTGGGCAGGTGTGAGGGGCTGCCCCATGGTCAGGGGTGAGGCGGGGCTGGGCACCCACCTGGGCTGGTCTTTCCTTTTATTAAAAGACATGTTTTTGTTGATGTCAGAGAGGAAGGGAGAGGGAGAGAGAGAAGCATCGACGATGAGAGAGAATCATGGATCGGCTGCCTCCTGCATGCCCCCCACTGGGGATGGAGCCCGCAACCCGGGCCTGTGCCCTGACTGGGAATCGAACTCTGACCTCCTGGTTCCTAGGTCCACGCTCAACCCCTGAGCCACGCCGACCCGACTGGTAACAGTTTAGAGTCGTCATCCCCGCTGAGCTGGGTGGACGTGAAGCCTAGAGACCGGGGAGCAGGCGGGTTTGCCCCGTACACAGGTGCACGTGTACCCCGTGCCGTTGAGCCACGCGTGGGGCCCGGGCTGGGACGAACCAGCTGCCTGGTTCGTGCGGGCTCGTCCCCTCAGGCCAGCGTCCGGGTCCCGGCCACCTGTCCTCCTTCCTAACCTGGTGCATGAGCCGCCGTGCGGTCGTCTCCGAGAGGGACGCTGTGCCCCGCCTCCTGGCACAGTGCCCGGCGCACAGTAGGCACGGCAGGACCCTTGGATGCGTGAGCGAGAGAACACAGGTGAGATGAGCAGGCCCACCCAGGGCGGCCCCTGACTGACCCTGCTCTCCTGGCTGTGCAGCAGGACATCCTACAACAGGACTCGCTCAGGCTGGGCGGCCACCGTGCAGCCTGGGCTGGTGAGGGGAGCAGCTGGGGGGCTCCAGCCTGGGGGAGATTAGGAGCCCCCCACCCCCCCTCCCCCGCGGAGGCTGGGATGGGCCTGCTGTCCCGATGGCGGGTTTATCAGCTCGAAGGTCCCTGTATCAATGGCCCTGGACGCTTTATCGCTTCTCAGGGCTTTATCTCAGCAGCCGCCTT